GCGGGGGCGGGGGCGGGGAGGGGGTGGTGGGGGGAGAGTGGGGGGCGGCGAAGACGCCCGGGCGGAGATGGAGAGGCGGGGAGGGCGGCGGAGCATGCCCCCGTGAGAGAGGCCAGACGGTGTGGGAGAGAGAGAGTCGCACACCTTTGTGTCCGTCACTTCGGCCGCGATCTTGGAGTGGGCCGTGGCGGTCGTGCAGTCCGTCACGTTGCTCGTGTAGCCCGAGGCCTCGATCGGATCCTCAGAGACGCAGAGCTCGGCGAGCGGCAGCGGCGGCTCCGCGCACCACACAGGGGCGCCGCCGCCGCCGCACGTAACACCGACGGAGTTGACGGTGGAGTCGGCGAGCGAGCCGTCGCCAACGATGGCCGCGCCGGTGGTCTCGCCAAAGGAGGCGAGCTCGGCGTCGGCCGCGGCGCCGATGGGCTTTAGGGTGGTCGGGGCGGCAGCGCGCGAGGCGGCGCCGCTGAACTTGGAGAGTTTGATCGGGTAAGAGAAGGTCGGATGGAAGGTGGCGACGTCCGGACGGGCACCGAACAGCGCCCCCCCACCCCCGAGGACGTCTTGGTGGAGCAGGAGCTCCGCGGCCTTGTTGGGTTTGCGCGAGGCAGACGCCGCGAGGGCGAGCGTCGGCGCGTCGGTCTCGAGCTGGATGCTGAAGTCGGTGCGGTTGCGCGTGTCGATGAGTGCCCCCCCGCGCCGCGGACGGGGGCGAGAGGCGGTGTTGGAGGGCGTCGCGAGAAGAGCGAGGACGAGCATGACGGCGTGCAACAGATCACGGAGAATAGGAGATCACGGGCATCTGCAAAAGAAATCGTAATCCGCGCTGGAAAGGAGCGCTTTGACCTTTGTGTTCGTGCGTCGCCCATCTCTCCCAGACTTTTCGTGCGTCGCATGAAACGGCTTCGGGAAGCCTTTAGTGCAGAAACCCTCCTTGCTGAGGCACGGCGCTCCACGGCGCTCCACGGTTACGAGTGCAGTCATTGTGCACCATATGTTCCAGCACGGCCTGAGACCCAAACCCGCGGCGATAATTTATTTCTTTTTTTGATTTAAGCGCCTTCTCGAGGTTCTCAAGGTTTAGGTATGTTGTTGTTCTCAAGGTGGATATCCTTTGGCCGCGTTGGGTAGCGAGGATTGGTGTAACCCGAGCCACGCAGGCGTGCTCTCTGACGGCCGACCGTCAGTGCACGGAGATGCCCCTTCTTCGACTGCCCCGGCTAGCACTCGAGTTTCGCGGGAGTGACCCCATGCGTCAAACCCGAGACCTAGCGCGGGTGGGTTGGAGGGGGCTCGCTGCAAGGAAGGGCCGTGTAAGAAGCCGATCCCCGCAGTCCGCCCCGCCCCTCCCCATCGGGCCGCATGAGGGGCCACGCCTCGCAGATTCGTTTTCGCGTCTGGGTCAGGCGCGCGGGGCATCCCCCGGGTCGAGCACGCCGTAATCGAGCGCGTAGCCCGCGGGGCATCCAGGCGCAGCACTCCTTGCAGCGACGCCTTCCTGCACTACGGTCGCTTCCACCTGGAGAGCCGGGTCGCCGGCGTAGTTGCAGCACGCGAGGACCTCGCCCTCGGCGACGTACACGCGCCACTCCGTGAGCCAGCGGACGGCGGAGGCGCACAGCAGCCGCTCCGCGCGTCGCGTGAGGCCGTGCGAGGCCAGGTCGTCCGGCTGCGCCACCACGAACCCTGTGAAGCGTTTCCTGCGGTCGAGAGGCTTTACGAAGACAGCCCCGAGCCCGCCGCCGCTGCTCGTCCCGCCGCTCCCATCAAAGTGGCGCAGCAGCTCGCCGACCGACGACGTCCAGATGCGGCGGTGCAGCTGGCAGCGCAGGCAGTGCGGGTAGTCGTCCGGCGGCGGGAGCGGCACGCCCATCCGCGCGAGGGCGCGCGAGATGGCGGCCACGCCGCCGTGCACGAACGTTGCGGACGTCAGCTGCA